GATAATCCTGAAAACCAATATTGTATTCGGAATCCCCATGCTCGATTACCCCCCTGTGCCAACTCCCAGCCCCGTAGCTCAAACTTTGCAAAAAAATCGATAAAATCGATAAAAGTAATCGATAATCCTGAAAACCAATATTGTATCCGGAATCCCCATGCTCGATTACCCCCCTGTGCCAACTCCCAGCCCCGTAGGTGAACTCAGCAAAAAAATCGATAAAAATCGATAAAATCGATATCGATCGATGACGAAAAGTAGCCTATGACACCCGCCGGGGCCCGTAGTGTATGTGTGCCAAGTTTGGTCCGGATCGGTTCAGAAATGGAATTTTCTATTCGGAACATACGTACAGACATACAGACAGACAGACATACAGACAGACAGACAGACAGACAAACAGACATTCAGCTTTATATATAAGATTTCTCTGTGTTTTCATAATCAACCTTTTTGGCGTCTAGGAAAATTCAGTAAATAAAGCCTTTTAGATGCTCTGTACGGAGTGATCAACGAAATCAAGAGTTGATGCGCTATATACAATACCGCTCTCAGAACACGCAATTTCGCGGATTTGTAATATCGCCATAACTTCCTTCGGAATGCATAAATTCTGGATCTGAAACAAGAGTTATACTCAGCTCATTAAGGCGAATCTTTTGGTACCTTGCCTTACCGTAATTCTCGGGCACGATTGCTGCACGGTAGGAAATAAATTCTGCTTCTTGGGGGAGGAGAGGTGAACACAATATTCGTGTCCTGTACTCGAACCCACCCCTTCTAGTAATAAATAGGTGCTTGAAGCTACTAAACAAACAGAAGAGGGGAAAACAACATCGACGGCATCATCACGGCATGTTCGCATATTGTAGAACTAACCACACCCAATACCACTGATTACTCTCCTCCCCCCTAGAATTTCAAAAAAAAAATCGCAAAAGGATTCACTTGCTGCAGTACACCCACCTCCCCTCTCCCAAAATGCAAAATTCATCTTCCACCGTGCACCAATCGTGCCCCGAGAATTACGGTAGGCAAGGTACCAAAAGATCCGCCTTAATGAGCTGAGTATAACCCTGTTTCAGATCCAGAATTTATGCATTCCAAAGGAAGTTATGGCAATATTCCAAAAATTCCGCGAAATTCCCGAAATATCGCGAAATTCCAGGAATTCCACTACATTCACGGAAATTTTGCATGTTCTGAGAGCGGTATTGTACATGTAAAGCAAGAGAACGATTTAATCGTTTTACGAACTGACACCAATGAAGACATTGTAAGGTTCTCCCCTAATCAGAATTTGTTAGATGTTTTTTGTTAGTATTCTCCTTGCATTCTCTTTGGATGCTATTTTTCCAATCCAATTTGATAAATGATACACCATTACATCTCCACGGAGTAGTCCACAACTGTATTACACAACCTTAAGTCCTTTAAAGAACTGTGAATGGCTCGAAGTTTTCTTCTCATTTGTAGAATCGCAACTCATCGTTTTTATAGTAGAAATCCGTTGACCCTCACTACTTATAATGGTTCTTAATCACTTATCCATGCTTAGCACACATTATCAGCTCACATAACCATAATTCGCCAAATTAGCGCTGCAGAGAAAAGCCGATTTCGCACTGACAGCCGAAAACTCACGATCGCCTTGGGATCAAAGCGTCTTAACTTTGCTCAAATCCTTCATAGTACTGAGCGCTTTCGCTATGTGCTGTGTGAGATCTTAGGATACGCAGGCTATTTGAAAAATAAACCGTCCGTGCTGCATCGTCCCTCTCAATTTCGAAAGCTCAGACACTTCGGATCATGAAACCCGTAATTGGCTAAACGGTTTGCTTCGCAATGTTTATACAATGCATTTCGTTTTGATTTATTTTTACGACACGTGTCATGGAAGAAAATTGCTATTGCGCACATGGAGTATCCCGCAAATGCAAATTGCAACAAAGGATGTCCGCAAATTTTGCCCTGTTTCATGCGTATAAACGCGTGATCACTTCAGCTAGTTGGATCATAGAAATGAATGAGAAAAAGGAGTGGAAAGATGATTTTTTAAAAGTGTAATGTCCTGTTAACAAAGACAAATTTTACAGGTGATACTGCGAACCAAGAAGCGCTCAAGTGTGGTTCCTTAAAGGAGGAAGATGGGAGAGATAAGAAATTTCAAAGTACCCACTTCAAATGTCTTTTGAAGTGTTGACGACAAAGGTGAGGCGAGCTTTTTTACAAATTAGTGGGACAATCATCGACTTTCCATTTAGTTTTTTCCACCAAACTTTTGCATAGCAATCTTTGACTTCTCTCTTGTCCGGAGAGTACATTAATCAATTCCCAAGTTCCGTAAACAGTACATAGAGATGACCTTATGTCAGTGAACGCATACTGAAATAGAAACAGGTTCCTTGTTTGATCTTGCGAGTAACTGTTTGAGTTACGAAAGAGTTCGTTCGGAGATGACCGGATAACGAATTCTTGCAAAATGCAGTATGAACAGAAACAGGAACAGGAACTTGTGGGCTACCAATTGGCAGAACAAAGACATGGTAAACTAAATGAAGCCAGAATTGGAAATAGTTGTCTCGCCTAAGTCCTTTTTTTTCAAAATTAACTCCTACAAGTTCTAGGTTCAAACTAGTGAGACTACAACATCTATACGTACACTTGCTGTAGTTTTGATTGGAAGAATTGAAAGAGCAAAATAATCACAAATTAGGAACCCTGTAAGCCTTCATCTTTAGCGACCTGATTATATCTCGCATAACCTATTCTATAAGATCAAGCTATGATATTATGATTACATATTATATATTATTATACATTGCCTTTTACCTGCCTTGCTATTAGAATTCAAAAATCAATTGCTGCCATCTTTTTTTGATCGGTTATGCTTGATATCGTTTCAAAACACATTCACAGTTCCGAATAACTTATATTATTTCTGCTGGTTTCTTTCCTTATGATATGTTTTTTTTCGATTATTGAGTAGCGCGCCTTTCACCACACTGCACCTCTTCTTAGAAGTCATATCTTCACCATGCGATATTTCTGTGTTCAAAGAAAAAGCGCCGCACTCCCCGCCTTGGCAGGGCTCGGCACGAGGTGGCTTACAAGCAAGCTGGGTATCGTTTTTGGGATGAAAAGCAAAGGGGGTTTCGTTTTTGTGACCGAAAACACACGCAAAATTGGCGATTTGGCGACGCTTTTTTTTAGTCGACGTTTCGTTTTTTGGAGGATTTTTAGGGAAAATGGGGGGGGGGGGGTCAAACGGGACTTCGTAAAAATACCCAAAAGTCAAGCGGGACTTCGTTTTTCGCATTTTCATCTAGCCACCTCGTGCCGAGCCCTGCTCCTTGCGCATGTTGAAGTATACGGTAGCTGAATGGGCGGCGCTTTCAAGGACGAAAAGGCTGCGAAGCGCGAAACCGTTGCATTCGCAACCGCCATTGATAGACTTCTTCCCCATAAATAGAAGCATCTGATTTCTTCTTTGCGAGTACTATATTGAATGATTGCTACTCTTACCTAGTTTACGAGTTACCTTGGAAACACCTAAAGGAAAGGTGGAACATTCAAAACTATTCGACGCACCTTTCCTTCCCCTTTTTAGCAAATGTTTTTGGTTTTGTAACTCCTGAATCACTAGAGTAATCGGCAGGATATTAAGCTCATGGTTCTGCCAGGTCCAACTTATTTCTCGAAATTTTCCATATTACACTTCCGAAAGGACTTCACATATGCATAAAGTAGACAAAGCGCAGAGCAAGTTTTTTGGTATCGTTCATTTCATTTCGTTTTTCAAAAACTCTCAAATTATCATCTTTACCTTACCAAATACCAAATTTGGTCAAATCAGTCCTCATCCATAGAAAATCAACCGACAAGCAATTCGTATTTATGCAGTATATCTTCCTTTTTTGACAAACAACTATTTCTTTACGACTCGTAAAGGCTTCGGGATGAAATTGCCATAAATTTTAGTCCTCAAGCGCGCCAAAGATCGTATTTTATTTCAAAGCGGCAAAGGTTCATTTGTAGAATCAATTCAAACGAGAACTTATTTTTAGAACTTTTTGAACTTTAGTGTTCGAGGCATTCTTGTACACAAGACATTGCAAAAGTAAAGCTTTGCAAACATTATCTCAAATATTGAAAGGTTGAAAAAATGTGCGCTTGTTTACTCTATCCATTTGAACCAGAACTCCTCCGATAATCTCAAATGAAAATTTGAAAAAAAAAACTTGAGATTATAGAATTCAGGGGTTTAAGATTGGCAATTTTTTATGAGCGCGAAAGTAATCAAAAACATAGCGTTAAAAAGAAAAAAGCAGCACCGATCATTATTGGCACTTGTCTCAATTCTACGATTTTATGGTAGATCGAATGGCAAGAACTTTTAAAGGCACCATCTCCCCATATTCTCACTTCCATGTTTTTGTCGATTCCAGGCCTTCTGAAGGCCCTGATTTCGAATATGGAGTCGAAAATCCGCGAAACCTTCAAAAATCCCAGCTTTGAGAACCCTCTGCAACATGCGCCAGCGAGGTAAAGGATGCAAATGGGCTGGGTGACCATGGTCGCTCCGCCCACTTTGCTACATGCGGAGCGGATTTCTCGCCCCAGAAGCAGTCTTTTGCGGCGCAACTTGGGGGTTTGCCTAGTGTGGGGACCCACACTAGTACGCCATCATAATCTCCCCAGCCCCCATTTTGGATAGACGGTGCCTTTAAGAGGAGCTGATTTTTTCGTCAACGAAATCGAAATGGTGTACTTCGTCAAAATTTCCCGTTTCAACTACAACTTATAATCACCCATGAATAGTCCTCACTGTTGGAAGGATCCCAGGCTTGGTGCCATCCAAAGTTCTTATTGAGCAAATGTTTGGAAACATGCAGGTGCTGGTGCTACTTCCTGGCCCAAAGGGCAATAATCGAAAAAGGATCCTTGCCGTGAATTTTTCAAAAAGCTCTATCAGTGGATGCTTGTTTCAGATTCTCAGTATGGAGTGCTGTATTGATGATAACAATCCCAATGAAGGTGAAGCACCCATCTCGACGAAAACTAGTTTAACTCCCACTTTGGATTGGTGTGCTCCGAAACGCTACATGTTTGACAGCGCTGTCTACACATCTTCTAGCAGTGAGTATATCTGTAGAATTACGAGTGCTGGCAATTAGGCTAGACTCAATTTCCTTCAGGGATTGATGACCGTTTCAATGTCATAGCAAGAAGACTTTTACAGCTCTGCGATAGATTCGACAAGGAATTCTTTGAGGTAAAGCTTCAGTAGTTTCTATGTTACTTTCTGACTACGGCATATTTTCAGCCACATCGTCGTTGCTTTTCAAGGTTGTCAATCCTATGGCGCCGCTGATCGGACCCATTTTTCTAGATATTATTGTACCTGTATTGTGTATATAAATTGGATAATAAACGTTGTATAACTTTTTGCCTTGCACAACCTTATCAATAGTCTTTCTTACCTGGCATCCTATCCAACGAGATACTCAGGCTAATAATAAGTCGTTCGCCTTACAAAAAACACCCATAACTTTACAATCGGTAGTTAACACATTGGCGACCATGCAGTACTTTAGTTGTCTGCCCTTTGCGACCAAGACCACCCACGGATAGGTCAATATTTTTCAAATAAAATCACGCATACTGCCATCTATAGTATACTTACAGTAGCTTTGAGAGGCTGACAGAAAAATGGAGCTTGTTTATCAAACTAGCGCAAAGGGAAACCTCTGGAGTGGGTATGTCTCAAAATAATCGTCATTTTAGCCAAATTCTAGTCTTGACGCAACATGTGTGTCAAACGGTCGTCAACGTGTCAATAATCAAATATGCTAGAGACTTTACTAAATATGTGTAACGAACTGGTCATCGCGCCATTGTAGCAGAGCTGATTTCAGTCTGCATCGCTTCCAAACATATAATATGAGTTTTGGAGAAAAAGATAAAAACTCGCAATAGCGATAACACTCACCATACAGCGATTTTTGCTCAGCTCAAAGTGTATTGCGAAATTTCCTGATCGTATTGAGCTCCTTTTCCATCTCGACTTTCAGATTTGCTGCTCATTGATACTGCACAAAAGCAGTCAACTGGAGCATTAATCATACGAATTCTCGTTGACCCATTTACCTCTTTGAGTGAGCTAGCATCAGTAGCAGTTGCTTATGAAATATTCAGCAGTACTTCAGTACTTCCAAGCCTTGTCACATAAAAGAGGTGGACGCTTCAGTCAGGCTAATTGCGGGAAATCTAAAGTTTGATAGAGCGATAATGTAAAAACCATCCGAGCCATTCTGAGAGAGTTATTCAACCAACACAGGACTCTCCGCCGATTAGGAGAGCCGTAGCGGTTCTTTCCTGTAACAATAGATAATAGACAACCCCTTATACAGCGTGTATTCTAAAATATATTATTCTAAAACACCATTCTAAAAACAAATCAACTCAAAAGTTTCACAGGAACTCTGCATGCAGAACACAAGTAAAAAACATTTGTGGTCCACGCGAAAATCTGCCAATACACTGCTGAGATTTAGCTAGTTTTTCCTAGAGGAGAATTGCAAAGAAAGGCGGAGTTTTGCGAAAGAAGTATGTAGATGTCCCGCTTTCAATTTCTTTTTATAAAATAAAATTTGGCTTTTTGGTAAAGCTTTTCTGACTTTTCTGACATCATTCTTAACAGACAACAATATTTAGGACCTTTAATTCGTGGCCGTATGTCCAGGGGCTTTTGTCGTTTTCTGAATTCTATATCATTTTTGTCTAAGTAGATCAGAAATGTATTTCATTTCTTTCAAACACCTCGAAGCTTATCGAAGATCTATTATAGAAGATATCTTTTTGAATTTACCTGACCATCAAAATGAAGCCTTAGAAGGTGCCATAAACCTCTCAACTCCACATACCAAAGCCAGACAACTAAAGAGTTTTTAACTGAGCTCTGAATGCTATGTATGCAACGCATTGCTGCATATAGCACCTAAACTGCCTTTTCTATGTAAGCGCAAATAATATTAATAATATATCGCAAACGAACTATTTGATCCGCAAACGGATAGCAGACTGTCAGGCTGAATTGTCTGGCTCCATGGAGCTGTCAGTACCTCCTTCTCATAACGGCGCTTTGCCTCATTGACTGAATACTCAAAAGTTGCCGCCATTGATCATCATCAATGAAATGCTAATTTACAGACTATTGAACTGACCCTGCTGTCTTTCTTTTGCGTGCATAATTTAACTAGATTACGATTACAGACTGCGACTTGTTAAATTGCTGGTAGCTATGAGATGCTCAAAAAACATTGGTTTATCAATATCCTGTTAAGCCTCAGGATAGCCCCTTCATGATAGAAAATTTTGTTGTTCTGAATCTAAAAAAATGTCATGGCTTTGAGAAACAAGTGCAAGGCGCAAATGCAGTCGGATGCTTCTAATCAAAAGTCTTCCAAGTTTACTCATATCATTTGTGCAAAAAATACAACAAATGTTACTCTAACCGTGCTTTCCCACTACTTGGTAAAAACAGACTTTTCTAATTTGTTTTCATCAGAAAGCTTTGCTCGCTTGTAGAAACTTGGCATTCTGCTTCAAGTGAGAGTTTTTATTATGGGTTGAGTTACTGAAAGAAAGTTTTTCGAAGGCTCAAAATGAAAACAATGTTGTCAACCTTTGTCAAACATGTGTCAATCTACAATTGTTTCCACTTCCATTAGGTTGAGAACTGCCACCACCAGGCAGCTCTGAGCCTTTTTGACCTAATTGGCAGCAATAGTTAGATAAATTTGACTTTATGCCAATTTCCTTGTAGAGAATGCTTACGAGAATTTTTGAGAGCTCGGCCGCTGCTGTTTGGAAGGACCTGTGGTCGTATTGACCAGCGAAACTCAAAAATGACGAGCTTGGGAAGCATTACATTACAGCTTATCTGTCATACACGGGAGATATCAAAAATTTTCATCAGTAAATACAAAAGTGAAATATTTAAAAACGAACCTAACCAAAACTCCCTTGGTATAGTTAGAGCAGCTTACCTTAACTTATCGCTAAGTAAATAAAATCCTTGCATCTACTAGGTAGTGATGCAGTTTATATAAATGTTGATTGCAATATAATGGTAGATTAGTATCTGCTTGATTTCGTGCAAATACCTTATTTCAGTGAAGTACTCTGCGGATTCGGAGTTAACGTTCCATGGAAGCGGAGTTTTTGTGGAAGACGCGGTGTCTTTGTTGTTATATAATGACCGTAGCCGAATCAAGAAATGGATATAACCCTTAAGAAATGACGATATAGCTTACATACTACTTCAATCCTGACTTACTGCCTCATTAACTTTATAGGCTCTATAAACCTTACCATTGAGACAGCAACAAATATGAAAGTGTGAGGCGCAATATAAAAGATAACTACGTATAAAATTGTTTTGTTTGAGATGCATTGACACTACCGTTCACATTTTATTATTAAATTTGTGAATTCCTTGTTGAGTATCTCTGAGACAACAGAATTTCCCACAAGTACGCAGATACGGAAGAGTTGAGTGTGGGGTATTCAGAAAGGGAACATCATTCCTCAACTGTCTATTGCCTTTTCATTCACGTTTGCTTTTCTATAAGTCCGTAATTCAGGTTCCAGACAATTGCAAAATTTTATACCACGAAATCTCACATATAAGTCCGCTTTTTGATTCAGAAAGTCTGCCCTTATACACCGTTGAGATAAGTTCGCCCTATAGATAATCCGTTTTTCTATTATAACTACCCGAAATCCTGTCAGGTAAGCCCGAATCTATCTGTCTGGAGGTCCTATCTATGAGATTTTAGAGTATATATTAGTTTGTCGGATGATTTCTGTTACACTGTTTTCGCAAAATCTGGAAAAATTGCGGAAGCTTTCTAGATTCAAATTTGCTCCATTTGTAGGACACGAGAGGGCGTAAACAACAGCATGATATGCAAATGCACAGATAGCCAGCAAGTTTACGACAACTTTGTAAGCACGCCTAAAATTGTCATTTTTTCTTCGATATTTTCTCTACGTAGTTGTGTTTTTTTCTCCTGCAATTTTCTCAAAGCATATTTTCGCACTGTTCCTTTCAAGGCAGCACATTGGTACCGCTAACATGTCAAGAACGAGGAGTGAAAAATAATTTAAACTCAAAAATTGATTTAAAAAACTCTATCCGGTTCTTTCTTGATCATTTTTATTGGCATATAGGAAGAATTCAAGTCTGTTAGAGAACCTACACAGATGGTCAACGAATCCAAGATGTGATGTTGATGATCTATGAATCATCAACCTCGGCAACTAATCTAATAACTTACACTCATGAACACAGCTGTATCTCAATTTCTAAGTACGAACGCTTTTAGGAGGTTTTGATTGTATTTATCTATTTACATTCTAACACATTTCGCCTCCTCCTTGCTCGCCCGGAGTGTTGATGATTCATGTATCATCAACCTCAACAATTCTATAGTCCTAATAGCTCACGGGTATTCCCCACAGGCTACATTCCCCAACCGCTTATATTCAAGTGCCGAATTACTCACCAGTGAGTGGCACCTATCTTCCAAGGGCCGCGCCAAGCCGCGGCATCCTCTTTCTTGCATATATTTCCTGGACAGTCTGATTGTGCACGGGTCAGCTCCGCCTTACTAGCTATATAAGGAGCCCCCGAATGTATTAGAGGTTGCTCCCCCCGGTTCAACACCGGGGTTCGTCTGTGGATAAATTACTATCGACACCACTATCGCTTACGACACTTGTTTCCCACCAAATTGGTGCATCGACCAGTGAAGCCACCTCGTATTCTATCTGCAACCGGAGGAATCGAGGCGAAGAACCAACCGACTATCTGGAAATCTCTGTGTATCCTTTTCGTAAGCGATCCAAAGAGGTGTAAGAAAAATCGGAAGGAATACCACTGACTATCTGAAAATCTCTGTGCATCCTTTTCGTAAGTGATCCAGAGAGGTGTAGGAGAAATCAGTCAGTCGTGTGAACTATTCTTGAAAACTCTCTGTGCATCCTTTTCGTAAGCGAACCAGAGAGTGGGAAAGAACCAGTGTTACCACACAACCACAGACAACTTGGAAACTTTCTGTGCATCCTTTTCGTAAGTGTTCCAGAAAGTGAAAGAGTATTCAAGTGGAGCACATAATCACATTAATACGTGAAACTTTCTGTGTATCCTTTCCGTAAGCGATCCAGAGAGTGGAACAAATTTTGTGAGTGCAGCACATAACCACATAAGACCGTGAAACTTTC